TGCTGGGCAGCGCGCGCTCTGCCGGCCCCGTCCCGCACATCCGTACTGCCCCGCACGCCCTGCCCTGCCCTGCCCTGCCCTGCCCTGCCCGGGGGCACCGCCTGGCGCTCCCTGCTGCTGCCTCCTCTTGCCCTTCACCACCTGCCGCTGCCGGCCCTGCCCCTGCTCACACGTGCGCGCACACGTGTACAACACACGTGTACCTCAGGCCCTGGGCTTGCGGATGCTCAGTGTGAGCGGGCAGGACTGGGCTGGGGTCCCTACTGGGACACGGGGGTGCAGGCAGGGTGGGCACTGGCACTGCCACGGACCAGGGGTTGACAAATCCTTTATGGACATTCAGTGGTTTGGAATCTGCCCTCCAAGGCACAAGCACTGCTGCCTGCCCTCTGGGGAAACTGAGGCACGGGACAGGTAACTGCAACAGCCCTCCCAATGAAGGACACAGAGGTTGCACACAGGGGAGGTCGCTGGGGGCTCTCCCCACTGTTGGAGGTCCTGGGGACCCCAGGGGGGTAGTCCCAGCACCAACAGCTGCTCTGGAAAGCCATGGCTGGGCTGCACGGACATACAGCAGTGGCACATGGGAGGATCTGCTGCAGCCCCGCGGGCTCAGTCAGCCGAGGCCACTTGTGAAACAAACCAGACCAACTCTGCAGGTTTGGTGAGAAGGCATTAAAATCCGCCACTGCCGAGAGGGGGGATTACACTGGCTGTTCGAGGATCAGCGCTTCTCCAAGAGGGTGCTTTTAACAGTAAACAAACACAAACACATCACTTGCTGCAATGTCAGAAGCTGTTTGTTCAGACACTTGAGCATCTTTCCTTGGCATTCATCACTAATCTGCTAATTAGTCAAGAAAAGCAGCCTCCTCCTTAGACATACGTGAGCAGCAACTGGGAGCAGCACCAAGGTAAAGCCGCTTAACTCTGCTCTGTCCCTTGCACCAGCACTAGAGGGGTCTGGTCATTTCCTGACCTCCTACTGAGCTCCAGGGACAATGGTGGGGCAGAGCATGAGACCACCAGAAGGCAAGAGGACTAGGCTTTTGGTGGGTGAGAGCTCCTACTGGTGCAAGGGCACCATGAGAGAAGCCTTTGTCTGTGCAGGCATTGGGTTGTGCAGGTAACCCACCATCTCTCCTGCTGTCTGGATTTAGGTAAAATCTCTTCTTTAAATGCTTATATTGTTTCTTGTTGACTTGAAAAGGTAGAGCATCAGGTCCTGCTGCAGCTTGCTAACAGAGTCAGTGACTGGGAAGAGAACAGGACAGGCAGTGCCAGGGACAGTGTGAGCAGGGGTTGTGCTGGTGGGAGCTCACCCTGTCACCTGAACACTCCATACTGCCCAGCACCACACTCCAGTGGGAAATTATAGTGTTGAAAAAGACCTGGTGTCTTTTTCTTTGCCTCACTCAGAGATGCTGGGCTGAGTCCTTCCAAAACTGCAGTTCCAGTCGGTTTAAAACAAAACAGCAAAAAGCTTCCCAGAAAAACAAGCCTATAGCGCTGACCTTTATTGGGTATTACAGGTGATCAGCAAAGCCAGGAAGAAAATCCCCCACTTCACATCCGTTCCCTGTCAGAGAGGAGCAGCGAGTCCTCTCTTCCTCTGGAAAGCTGGAGGAGCAGAAGCTCCAGCCAGCAGCCGCAGCACCGGCGCTGACAGGGTGACCTCCAGCGGGGTGAGGAAGACATGACAAATTTCACGTTGCATGAACAGGAAACTTTATTTCAAACCCACTCGTGCGTTATGAAGGAGCAGAAACGGGAAAGAACAGGGTTCTCTGGAGCCTACCAGCACCACCCCAGGCACTTGAGCAGGTACAGAATTTCAGGGTGATTACGACACGACCCGACCCCCTGCCACTCTGGCAGAAAGGGGGACAGAAAGGGAGCTATGTGCACACAGATGGAGCTGTATTCCTGCAGTCCGACATTCAAACTGCCCCACAAGCTCAGCACATGGACTCTGAGGCGGAGAAGCCCCGTGCTCCACTGTTTGGGAATGCACGTCAGGGCCATCTCTCCTCCACACCAGTGAGAGCTTCCTGACTGCACAAACAGTGCTTGGTGTGCACAGCTCCTGTTTGGGCCACTGGACCACCCCCTGTGAGAGACTGATGGCCATTGCTCATGCAGAGAGAACTCCCGTCTTCCCTGAACCTTGCTCAAGCAGAGACACCTCCTGTGATCCGTGAACTGCAGCTAACGTGTACAGCCTGGCAGCCCTTTGACAAGGGAACTTGTCAGAACAGTTTCAGACACCTACAGACATACCCTATTGAAACAGTGAATTCCTCCTGCCCTCCCCTGACCACTCTGCAAGCCCCCGTGTTCAGCAGCAGCTTTCCAGCAGCAGCAGCTGGTTTGTTTCCAACTCTCCCCCCAAACTACACCCAAGCTCAGTGCTGGTGTGTCAAGACTTGGCGCAGGGCTCTCGAGGTGCTCCTCCAGTGAAGGGAGGGTGCTTCCCAGTGCTGCCAGCTCTCCTGCCTCCACCCTGCTTCCTCTTCACCTGGCCCTGGGACTCTGCTTCAAGTGTCTCGATACAGAAGGCATCAAAAGAGCCCGGAGCCTGGTACCCCGGCTCCTGAGGATTGAGGGCGTCTTTGCTGAGTAGGACACATATGGCGGGAATGTTTCTCTTCACTGTCAAGGTATCGAGACCTGCCTCAGGCACAATGGGTTCCCAGATCTCTTCAATCTGTTTGAAGAGCACTTTGGTGATCTGGTGCAGTTCTTTGAGCCTCCTTTTCATGATTTCCACACACGTGATGGTCTTGCTGACGGCCTTGCCTGAGCCAGTGAAAAGAATCTGCCTCACCGAGTCCAGCTCCATCTTGCTGATGGCATAGCCCATCAGATTCCTGATTTTGCTCCCGTCTTTCACCTTCATTTCAATAATGTCAGGGGGCAAATTGGTGAAAGGATGAAGACAAGGTTTCTCCACAATTTTGGTCTTCTTATAGTTCTCCATTCTGCAGTGCTGAAAATGAAAACAGATCTGTTAATACAAACTCCCACTGAGAGGAACCTCATCACAATTAGCTACAACCTCTCCTCTAAAGGGCACTTCGAGCTGTCAGAGAGGGGGATCCTGAAAAGGCACATCCAAAAGATCAGCAGGAATACCATAATCATGCTGGGGAGCCACTTGTCTTCATCAGCACATACCTACAGCACAAACACTGCCAGAGGGCAGCCAGAGTCCTGACAGGCAGCTGGTGACAGGAACAGGGTTGTGGGCCTAACCTGGATGAAGGTACAGGCTATACCCCAGAGCAAAACAAGAGAACAAATGTGTGAGCCGAGACTACTAGGAACAGAAGCCAGGGGTAGACTGACCACGTCTGCACCCTGTGAGACACACCAGAACATGGGCACGATGAACCCAGGCATAGCTCAGCTGCACCAGCTCACTCCTATCGCAGAAACAGGGTCCTGGGGCTCTAAACCCCGTGGCTGGCCAGCCCAGGTGAAAGAGCAGGGACTGGATACTTGATAAAGCTATGCAGGGCAGACAGGCACAGGTCAGGGGCTGCAGGCAGAGACACGTCGCCAGCAAAAAACAAGGCAAAAGAAAATCAGATGATAAACAAAAAATGTGCTTTCTGAGGGAAAGACAGAAAGGTCCAGTCTTATAGCTCCCCTCCCTGCCAGACTGGGTCCCTCTACTGCCAACCCAACCAAAACCTGCCTGAGTAGAACATTCCCACCACAGAAAGCCCAATGTGCCAAAGCACACAGCACTAAGGTTTCAGGGTCATGAGCCCTGTTTCACCCACAACCAGCACGTTGTACCTCACCCCCTGTGGAAACAGGCCTGGCCAACGTCCCCTCTCTGTACATAGGAAGCACACACTCTCCACGAGGCTTTCACCCTTACGACGGCAGTGGGCTGACATCGGGGCTGGGGGATGGAGATGCAGGCTGCCAGAGGATGCCAGGGAAGGTCGCTTGGGTTAGGAAAGACAAGCCTGGAGAACCTACCGCTACTGGGACGTGGGGGCGGGTGGGGTAAGGGGCAGGCCGCTGTGCAGAGAACGCACACTGGGGGAGGAAGGAGGCCAGGCGGCTTCCACGGCTGCTGGAGGGGAGGCCAGGCCGCTGCTGCGGGGCATGAGGCGGGCGGGGAGGGTGGCAGGCCGCACCATGAGGGGCTGCGGGAGGCCGGGCGCCTCTGTGGGGTCCCGGTCGGAGGTCGGGCTGCACCAGAAGCGCCCATGGGGAGGCCGATCGAGCCCGGTGGGCGGACGGACGGACCATGGCAGCGGGACGGGGTGCGGGAACGCGCCTCACCTGCGGACGCCTCAGGGTGCGCCTCACCACAAGATGGCGGCCGTGCGCAGGCGCGGGACGAGCGGAAGGAGGCAGGCGGGGCGCCGCTTCCCGCCTCTTGCAACGTCACCGCGGTGGGCGGGGCGACGGGGTGGGTGCGTGTCTGCCCCCTGCCGGCCCGGGGGTCGAAGATCCCGCCCGCACCGGAGGCCGGGTGCGCACCCGCCGGGAGCGGCCCGCGGTGAGCGTGGGTCCGCCGGGGAGCAGGCTCCAGGGCAAGCTCCAGCCGGGTGCGGCGCACAGGGTCAGCCGAGCTCCTCCGTGCTGGGGTCCTGCACCATCCCTGCTCACACGCAGCTGGTGCGCGTCCCACCGAGGGTGAGGGTTTGGGACCCTTCTAAAAGCGAGACTCGGGAAGAGCTTTGTGGGAGAAGAAACTCCAGGTGATGGCCAGAGCAGGCCAGGCACAGCTCACACCCCTCTCTAAAGGGGAAAGAGCCCACTGTGAGCTCCAGCTTGCAGCAGCAGCTGGGTGAGCAGAGGCAGGGTTAAAGCAAGAGCCACTGCCTGCTCTCAGCTCAGGGATAGGAGGGCCCAAGGGAAGAGCCCCATCAGGCCAGATCCCCCTGGGCACTGGCACTCTCATGAAAGGGGAGAAAGCCGTAAGAGCTTGTGCCACAGCCTGGGGAGGGCTGCAGGGCTGGAAGGGATTTACCTTGGCCCAAGGCTGAGTGAAAGCACTGGCAATTTGCAGGCTGCCACAGGACCTCTGCAGTTCAGAGCCTTGGAAATCCAGGTGGTGGGGGACCGCGGCAGCAGGACGAGTGCTTAGAATCACAGAATCAACCAGGTTAGAAATGACCTTGAAGATCAAGTCCAACCATTACCCCAGCTCTGCCAAGTCCAGCACTAAACCATGTCACTGAGGGCCTCACCTACATGGTTTCTGAACACTTCCAGAGATGGCGATTCCATCACTGCCCTGGGCACCCTGTTCCAGTGCCTGAGCACCCTCTCTGGGGCAGGGATTGTTCCTAATATGAAATCTAAACCTCCTCTGCTGCAGCTTGAAGCCATTACCTCTTGTCCTATCACTTGTTAACTTGGGAAAAAGAGAATGACCCCCATGTCTTTGCACCCAGGGAGGACAAGAACCCAGTCAGTGTTTCAGTACTTTACTACAATTCACAGTACAGCAGAAAGGGATTTTAAAGTATGTTAAAAAACAAAAGGTGTTTCAGGGAAGACTTGCGAACTGTGATATTAGCGTGGCTCATGTTGGAGCTGACAGAGCTTGGCCACAGAGCCGGGGTGACCCTGTGCGCCTGCAGTGTCATTGACAGCATGCTCACACCAAGTGGGAAGAGGCAGATATCTGTGGGGTGGAAGCAGTGCTGCAGCCTCTCCAGAGAGACCAAAGGCCAGCAGGGTCCCCTGGGTTCTCAGTGCTCCTGGGATGCCCATTACTCTGCCACGGGTTTGGCTTCCTTGGCAGTTTCCAGCTGAGTCAGTATTTCATTCCACTGGACAAACTGCTTGGAGAGAAGCAGGGTCTGGATGCAACTCTTTAAGGAAAAAGATGTGGGAATTGGAGGGAAGAAACCAAGCTCAGAGCACCCCAACAGTCCCGGTACAATCCTGATTCCTTGGGTGAAGAAAAGCCTGGGACACCAAGCTGCAGAAAGCCTGCATGGACTCAAACCACCCAGGCACTTACCCACTGCCGAGCACCAAACAACAATGGGAGCTCAGGAGGCACTTCTGAACACTGCATTCTGAGGGTCTTTCTACAGAAAAGAGCAGAGCCTCCCTGTGCTCCGTGGTTTTAGGATGTGTCTCAGAACTGGGATTCTACGCAGATAAGAACAGCCACTGTTTAGCTCATGCAGGTTGCGGAGACCAGCAGTCATCTGGCAGAGATGTCAGCACACTGTGAGCGATCCAGCACAGGAACTCTCGCTCACAGTGGCACCCTGCCTTTCTCTTCTCAGAGACCAGCAGTTTTGGCCCTTAGCTCTGCTCCTGAGAAGGGTATGACAAGGACATGGGGTCACCACATCAGAAAGGACACTGGCCATTGAACCCAGGGGTGTGGATCCAACAACATCTGATGGCGGGAGTCAGCCCAGGAGACAGGCTGACACAGCAGTTCAGCTGTGCATGGCTCAAGGCTCAAAGGATACCATCTTGTTGTAGTCTTCAAGGAGTGTCTTGACACTATCAGTGAGGTGGTGACGCTGTTCCTGCAAAGAGGGGAGCTGCGGTCAGTGAACAACAAATAAACTGAAGGACATCTGCCTGCCCAGTCCCTGCCAACACCCATCCAAGGCCAGGACTGAGATTGCAGCTCAGGCCCTGACTGTGGCCACTCATTACAGCTAGAAGGATTTAAACATCCAAGAGAAAAGTTACGAACACCCATGACTACAACGCAGCAAAGCCCCTGGGCTTGCACTACTGCCTGCCTCTCCTCAGCATCCATGCCTTGCTTTCCCCAGAATGGAAACTTACAGCTAAATGCTCAAAGGGGTGTTAGGCACTACCCAAGCTACTCAGTGCCAGCTTCAGGAGTGCTCAAACGGGGAAGGAAAGGGTGAAGTGACAAGGTGACAGAAGTCAACAGCCTTCCAGAACAAAGACACTGGAAGACTGCAATGCTTTACCTTAGCGCCCCAGTGAAAGGGGAAATGCCAGATGGTTAAACCCACTGCCACTTACTGTCACTCAAACCTCTGGTTTGAGCAATTACAGTAGGCAAAGTGCTTTTCCAGCTCAGACTCAGTTGTTAGAAATCATAAGTACTTCCCCCCCAGGTACTTAAACTTAAGACTGCAGTATGAATATCCTGGGACTGAAAAAAACCTGCTATATATTCAAGCAATTGCACATACAGGAGTGTCAGTACAGCTACTGACAAATGGTTACTCTCCCTGATAGTCAGGACTGTGAAGAACGTTCATGCTACCTGCTGCTGTATGTGGATTTGAGACAGTCGCTGTAGTTTGGCTGCATGGTCAGGAACCGCTGAGAGCACAGAAGAGAAATCCATTTAGTTTGTTTCACAGCACATGGGATTAGTTCTCAAAATAAGACCATTCCTTCTCCACCAGAGCATCACAGTAGAACTCTAGTCACTGAATGCAAGTGCCACACACCACAAACACAACTTTTATGTGATTGAAAAGCACCACTGGCTACCCTCTATATTAAATACCAAGTTTATCTGCTAACTCTTCTGGATGGCATGAGTTTGGGGATGCTTGCAAGTTGAGGGTTAATCAAGAACTGCATCAGAGTAAACTACTTGGATGAATGTTATGGCAAGCAATTAAAAAGGCATCTCCATCTATTCCAGGAACAGGGATAGGTTCACAGGTAGGAATTCCCTGCTTGTCTTCATCCTCTCTGCATGACGCTGTCTCTAACCTGCTTCCTGACCTATTCTATCAGATCCCTGACCTTGCCTGGGATGTCACAGCAGCGTGAGAGAGGAAAAGACATCCTACTAAGTTTATGCCTATTCTACTCACTCTGGATTTTGTGCTTTGCTGTCCTCTAGTTTGAGGCTCATGGAAGAAAAGAAACACAACAACCACAAAACAAAACAGGAGAGGCAACAGCCTGGGGGTGGCATCTGCAGCTCAAACTTGCAGAATATGCGTACCTTGGATACTGGTACTGTCCAAGACGGGCTGAAGGTTCTTCACCTGCTCCAGAAGGGCTGCTCTGGAAGGAATCAGCTGCTCCTCTAGGTGGGAAGGGACAATAAGCAACATCAGTAAGTACAAGATGCTGCTTTGGTTTTTCACAGATACTGGTGAGGTAACTTTTCCAGGTGACCTAGCTGTACATAATGGGGGTGTTTATGATTTTGTTTAGACTTTTGTGTTGTTTATCTCTGGATCTTGGTTCACACCAACTTAAGGCAGGAGAATCTCTACCAAGTTTCATTCGCAGACTTATACCAAGACAAGGCTGAAGCATATTCTTTGGGGCAAAAGAGGACAAGCTTAGAAGGTGTTTAAAATACATCCAAAGGTCCTCCGCTTTTGTTAAAGCCTACAGAGTGCTGGAAGTGAGGTGAGAAAACCTGATCTAGTTACAGTTTTTCCTTCCAACCTTTTATTAATTCACTGTTAAATTGATCAATACTAAAAAGATCCAAACTGATAAAACTGCAGCATGGGAGCACTGTGGGTGACAGACATGCTTGTACAAACCATCTCTCTAACAGCTGTAAAGGGGGTGCCTTACCAGATCTTTAAAACTAAAGAAAAGACATCTATCCCAATCCAGCTTAGGTAAAAGACAACTTTTATAGCACCGAAAAGACTCCCCTGTCTCATTTCACGCCATACCTGCCAAGATGAACTGCAGCTTTATGGTGTCTGGAATAGCCATACGATCAATGTACTGAGGGTCAAGGTATTTTATTACATCTTCAACTAGAGTGAAAAATAGGTTTGGAGACAAAAAGTAGCAGAGATGTTACCGCGTTTACAAGTACAATTTTCCCCCATGCTATGCATCAGGTTACTGTCTACACACAGCACATTTAGGGTCAGGGCTTTTCAGATTACTTTTTATAGCACTTGAAAATAATGTGACTTTGGAGTGCTGTGACCAAGAACTAACAAATGGTTCAAGTCATGTAACTGCTTCATGATGGACACCTGCGACACTTATTTTCATTTGGATTATGACAAATGCCCATAAAGGCAAGTGAAATCTGCTTCTTCCTGCCCTTGAAACACAACCAGCCATTACCCCTTCATCCTGGTCCTCAAAATCATCTACGCATGCACAGTTTACATTTTTATACTGAATGTCCACCACAGCCTTGGCCCACAGTGATCCTCCCTAAGCAGCCTGCTCCTGCTGCGACACCACACAGCAAACCTTGGCCAAGAGACAGATTTCTGGGTCAAAGCACCACTCTGACGTCTGCTCCTGACATCCCCCAGTTCGGAGGCAGGTCCCAGTATCCATCCACCAGTGGCTGTGTGTGACCCTTATTCCTCCCACCACACACAGGAGGGACGGTGTGCCCAGGAAGTCCAAGTGTGCAAGAAGTCATTTCAGGAACTCATGCTCCAACAACCCTCAAAAACTGCACTTCAGGTGGTGCACATCACTGTGCCCATACAGGCAGATATCATGCAAATAACAGGTTGTACAGCCTACAGGGATGCCAGAGAGGGACTGTTCATCAAGGACTGTAGTGACAGGACAAGGGGGAATGATTTTAAACTGAAAGAAGAGAAGCTCAGATTAGATATAAGGAAGAAATTCTTTACTGAGTGGGTGGTGAGGCACTGGACCAGGCTGCCCACAGAAGTGACAAATGCCCCATCTCTGGCAGTGTTCAAGGCAAGGCTGAACAGTGCCTTGAGTGACATGGTCTACTGTGAGGTGTTCCTGCCCATGGCAGGGGGGTTGGAACTCGATGATCTTAAGGTCCTTTCCAACCCATGATTCTGACTTCCCACACCCAACAGCTAAGCTGGAGAATCACAGGCAGAAAGACCCTTATTTCTCCACAAAATATGTGAAACAAGAACCCCGCATCAAAGGCGCCCACATGGGAAGCCATTTTTGTTTAGAGGAGCAGATCGCCACACAGGGGTTTCGAGCTCCTCCACCCCTCTGACTGCTCCCGATACCCCCGTCCAACTCCACTCACTTTTCTTAAACAGGATTTTGATCCTCTCCCTCTTGCTGGCGATATTGTTCAGCGCCACCTGCACCTTCACCAGCTCATCCGCCACCTGCAGAGGCACCGCAAGGGGACGGGCCTGTCACACCTCGCCGGGCCCAGACCTCGACATGGCCCCGGCGGGCAGACAGAGCCATCCCCTGACCAACGGAGGCCCTCCCCCAAGCCCCGGCACCTTGCGCGTTCCGGAAGCCCCATCGCCGACACCGATGCGCTGCTCCACCTCCTCCAAGCGCCACTGCAGCCGCTGCAACTCCACCGCCCCTGCCGCCATCTTGCCGCCGGCCGGAAGCACTCGCGCGTCGCTTCCGCTCCGCACCGCTGCACGGAGGTGCGTTGCTAGGGCCGCCGTTGCCACGGAGACGGGAAGGGAGGGGAGGGGAGGGGAGGGGAGGGGAGGGGAGGGGAGGGGAGGGGAGGGGAGGGGAGGGGAGGGGAGGGAGGGGAGGGGAACAAAGGGAAGGGAGGGGAACGAAAGGGAAGGGAAGGGAAGGGAAGGCAAGGCAAAGGCAAAGGCAAAGGCAAAGGCAAAGGCAAAGGCAAAGGCAAGGCAAGGCAAGGCAAGGCAAGGCAAGGCAAGGCAAGGCAAGGCAAGGCAAGGCAAGGCAAGGCAAGGCAAGGCAAGGAAAGGAAAGGAAAGGAAAGGGGGGAAGGGAGAAGGAGGAGAAAAGGAAAGGAAAAGGAGGGGAGAGAAGGGAAGGGAGAAGGAGGGGAGAGAAGGGAAGGGAAGGGAAGGGAAGGGAAGGGAAGGGAAGGGAAGGGAAGGGAAGGGAAGGGAAGGGAAGGGAAGGGAAGGGAAGGGAAGGGAAGGGAAGGGAAGGGAAGGGAAGGGAAGGGGAAGGGAAGGGAAGGGAAGGGAGGGGAAGGGGAAAGGGGAAAGGGAAAGGAAAGGGAAGGGGAAGGGGAAAGGAAAGGGAAGGGGAAGGGGAAAGGAAAGGGAAGGGGAAGGGGAAAGGGGGAAAGGGAAAGGGAAGGGGAAGGGGAAAGGGAAAGGGAAGGGGAAGGGGAAAGGGAAAGGAAAGGAAGGGAAGGGGAAAGGGAAAGGAAAGGAAGGGAAGGGAGGGGAAGGGGAAAGGGAAGGGGGAAGGAAGGGAAGTGAATGGAAGGGCAAGGAGGGAAGGGGAAGAAGGGAAGGGGATGGCGGGAAGGGGAAGGGGGAAGGAGGGGGAGCGGAAAGGGAAGGGAAAAGAGGGAAGGGGAAGGGGGGAGAAGAGGTAGGGGGAGGGGGAAGGGAAAGGAAGGGAAGGGAAGGAGAAGGGAAGGGAAGGGGAAGGGTGCGAGGCCCCTTTCGGTGTGGAAGAGGGGTGGCTGCGGTTGGTCGATGGTGATTTGCACTGCAGAGGGAGGCACGGCGGCTGCTGGCGGTCGATGTCTGCTTCATTCCGGAGTGGTCCTCCAGGAAAGAGACACTTGGATATATTAAAAGAAATTGATAATAGTGATCTATGGGCAAGTGGAATCAAGGGCCTTTGAAATCCAGGAGTCTGCTGCGGGCTTTCCCCCAGGCCTCAGCCTGCCCGGGTTCACCTTTATCCTATCGACCAGTGCAGGGATGCTCATAAGAAGGGATGTGCTAATGAAGGCAGCAGCCAGCCCCAGTCCCACCGCTGCCTGCAACCAGCACTTGCAATGACAGGGCTCTCTCAGAGACATGGGATGAATTCATGGTGCCAGCATCCACCACAGAGGAAAACCCGGAGCCTTTCCAAACTGCAGAGGAAGAAGCTTGTGAGCCTTCAGAACACCTTCAAAGTGATGTTCCCTGCACACGAGGGCTCAGCTTGACCGTGTAGCTTTAGCCCTGCACTAGGCTGGAGTGTTGAGTCTCTGTTCCTTGTGGCTGTGAGCATGGAGCTGGGTGTTGCATTTGCCATGCCACAGGGAGCACCCAGCCTAAGTCCCAAGCCAGGTTATTTGGTCAAAACCATCTGCTAACAGCAAATGCTTTGTTAGTATGGCTGACAATGAAAGGCTGGATGGCTTTGGGGACCCTTTCAGTGCCCTTTGCTGAGAACAAAACCCACTGTGCCTTACAAATGCTTTGTCCTAAGTGTGTTCCTACAGGGAGCTGTACAGGGCTGGCAGGTTGTAGGAGGGAGCTGTGGGGTGGCCCAGGGCCCCAGCAACACCTATGGCCTCCCAAATCTCCCTGGGGGAGCTGTGGGGAGCACTCAGGCAGCAGGAGCAGGCAGAGGCTCTGTGCACTCCACCTTTTTTCCCAGGAATCAATAGCTGGGCTGTTGAAGTGGGATCTTCAGAGAGGAAGAGCTGTGCTTTGTTCCACAAAAGTGACAAATAGAAACAGCTTCATTAGCAGAAGTGACTGCGGGCTGCACAAAGGGCTGAGAGCTGCTTACATAGTGCTGGTCTGTGTTTAGAGGTACTGGATGTGCCCAGCATGATGGACAGTGCCCACAGATACACAGTTGACCATTATAGAGGGTCTCAGATCACCCACTTCCTCAAGGTGGGAAATTCAGGCAGCCCTTACCTGGGACTTGGGCACTGGGGGTATTTGGGATTGGAGGACATCCAACCTTTAGAGTCCTATCCAGCCTGTGAGGAGCCTTGAAATGGGGCTGAAAGCACAGCACTGACTGCCCACAGCCCAGGACAGTCCACAGATCTGCCCCACGCTCCTTGGGGCTGGGAGAAGGAATTCAACCCTGTCTCTATCCCTACAGTGATACTGATACCACAGCCACCTGCCCCCAACCCAGCTCTGAAGCCAGATCCAGCACTCCTGCTAATCTGGATCATCCCTGCATCCTCCGTCTCTTGCTTCCCGCTCAATTACAGTCCCTGCGGGACATGGGATGCGGGCATCAATCAGGGCTGGTTACTCAGGTGACAGCAGCTGTGTCTCCGAGCCCCCCAGGGAGAGTGGCAATACACATCGCCCCCTGAGCTGTGTAATGAGTGGAGATGCGGGCCTTCGTGTGCCCTCCAGGCTCCCCAGGGCCCTGGCGCTCGATGAGCTGTGGCCAGCACTGCCTGCCAGTGACAGGGGACATGAGACCCCAATTAAGGCTGCATCGATTCCACTCCGGCTCTGCTCCCCGTGCTGTGCCAGGCTGTGCCGTGGCTGCAGGAGCTCTGTGCCAGCTCTTAGCTGTCTCACAGCCCTACAGCAAACACCCTGGGACCAGCCTGGGGCACGCACAGACACACAAATACACACACACAGAGGGGAACCCCACTGCAGCCCCGTGTACACTCAAACACACACACTCTGCTGTTCACAGACCCCCTCACCTTCATACCCATCTACAGGGCTCCTCTGGAAGACCCGGAAAGGGGCAGGCATAGGATCCTCTTCAGGGGTCCCGTGTCCCCATCCGTGTTCCCATCAGTGTCCCCTTCCGTGTCCCCAAGTGCCGCTACCCCGAGGTCCGGGGCGGGCAGCGCCGCTGCAGCACCATGGACAGCGCCCGCACCACCCTGTGGGGCCCGGGGGTGTCCTCACAGGTATTGGGGGGTGTCCCTGAGTGTCTGGGGGGTCTCCCCAGGGGTGACCCGTGAACCAGGAGGTTTTGTCCCCTTGGGTGATAGGAACCTGGCTTCATGGCTGCCAGGTATGGCTGGGATTGGCAGAGTCCTCATGGGAGCCCCCCACTGTGCTCCTTGAAATACAAAGGTGCACGTGTGAGCCTGTGCATTTCCACACAGATGTGCAAGTATGAATCTGTGTATGCCGCTGAATCTGTATGAGTGTGGTGACTTATAACGTCTCCACGCTTTCCCATGTGCACCCATATATGCACCCATGAGCACCCATGTGTGTGAGTCCATGTCTTCCAGCTCCAGCTGGGTCACCCATGCCCTTTGTGGGCACTACCCATGTGCCAGGCTGGCCCACCGCGGCTTGCATCTCACCTGGTGCCACCTCACAGACCCATGGCGATGGCTTGAGCAGCCCCAAAGCCATGCTCCTTATCTCACACAGGCAGCCTAATGGTGATCCCTCCCACGGGTGAGCTGCCTCTGGGCAGCTTATGGGGCCAAGAAGCCCCACAGCCTGACTAGCATGGCTGGGGTTGGTGCTCAGTCTGATCCAGCCCATGCTTGAGGGCTCTGGTGGCACCTTTTCCCAACTCAAAGCCCCAGAAACAGAGGCAACCCTCTGCTGGAGGCAAAGGTGATGTGGGCTGTGAAGCCTCAGGCACTATAGCTGGGCTGTGCGGGTGTCCTGCACCCCCAAACTGTCCCCATCCTGTGCTCTGGACCTTGGCGGGTAGCACCATGTCATGCATATGCATACCATCACGTCCACACTGGTTTGGTTCAGCAGTTCATTTCCTTTAATAGATACACAGAGTCGCGTGGCTGCGGTGGGAGTGCCGTGGGGAGCCCGGCGGCACCAAGCACCGGCCCCCCGCGCTGAGGTAGAGGTGAACGTTGCTCCACGCTCGCCTGCTTTGGCACCCAGGGGTGCGAGAGGGTGGAGGAGGCGCCCGCCTGGCCCCAACGAGGTAGTTCGGAGTGCCCTCTGTCTCCTCGCCCCCCAACTGGGGACCCCAGCAACTGGGTGGTCTTTGGTGGTGGGGGGCACTTCTGGGCCTCCCTGCCCTGTCTGTTCCCCCCAACAAGCTCCTTCCAGTGCACAATCCCCACTCCCACTCCAATAATCCCCATTTCCACCTGTCACATCTCACCACCACCAGTCCCACCGGTTTCCCCAGGATCTGCCCCCCAAGGTGAACCCTTAGCTGAGGGAGGACTTGGGGGGCTGAGATGCTACCACCCTGGGGTGGCCAGCGGGCACCCAGGGCCCTGGGGGTGCCTCAGGATGAGGGCAGCAAGTCCAGGCAGCGCAGGAGGGCTGGGTAGGAGGGTCTGCAGAGGGTAAGGGGTGGAGTATATAGGGGATGCAGTATATAAGGGATGCAGTGTATAGGGGATGCAATGTATAGGGGATGCAGAGTATAGGGGATGAAGCGTTTGCACCGAGGTTGTGCACGGATGAGGTAATACGGGCACCAAGGGTGCATATAGGGGATGCAGTGTGGGCACCAAGGGTGCATACAGGGGATGCAGTGTGTGCACTGGGAATGTGTGTAGGGGATCTAATGTACAGGTGATGCAGTGTATGCATCAAGGGTGTGTATAATGAACACAGTGTGCATAGAGATGTGTGTAACAGAGACAGTATATAAGAGATGCCCTAAGTGTGGCAACATGGAGGATGCAGTGTACCCATTAAGACATGTACAGAGGCTGCAGCTGCATGCAGTGATGTGGGCACAGGGGCTGCAGTGTGTAGGGGATGCAGCATGCGGGGCCTGGGGTGCCCCAGGCAGCAGGGAAGGCAGGAGCTG